CCCCTGCTCAAAGCAGGACCAATTCCCAATTTTTGCCCCACATCCCTAAATGGCCCCCTCAAGGATTGAACTCACAACACTGGGTTTAGCAGGCCAATGCTCAAACCACTGAGCTATCCCTCCCCCCCCCCAATTTCAGTATCTAGACGATTGTTTGCTCAAAGCACATACCTTCACCGATGCCTTTAGAGACACATGAAAGACTATAGATCAGGGGTCAGCAACCGTTCAGAAGTGGTGTGCCGAGTCTTCATTTATTCACTCTAATTTAAGGTTTCGCATGCCAGTGCTACATTTTAACGTTTTTAGAAGGTCTCTTTCTATAAGTCTATAATACATACAATAATTTAGTTTAGTTATAATAGTTTAGTTATATAAAGTAAATAAGGTTTTTAAAATGTTTAAGTAGCTTCATTTAAAATTAAATTTAAATGCAGAGCCCCCCACCGGATCAGTGGCCAGGACCCGGGCAGTGTGAGTGCCACTGAAAATCAGCTTGCTTGCCACCTTTAGCACATGTGCCATAGGTTGCCTACCCCTGCTATAGATCTATTCCTATAACTAGGTTTACAACTAAATACCCATAAGTCCACTTTGACCCCATGCAACAGCTGGAATTCATAGGAGTCTTGAAGCAAGTCAGGTTTTTTTCCCCCCCACTGCTCCCCTTGCAAGGCTGTTCCAGAACTTCACTCCTCTGATGGTTAGAAACCTTCGCCTAATTTTGAGCCTAAACTTGTTGATGGCCAGTTTATATCCATTTGTTCGTGTCTGCATTGGTGCTTAACTTAAATAACCCCTCTCTCTCCCTGGTATTTATCCCTCTGAAACATGATTCTATTTTTTTTCTTTTAGTGGTAACTGTCCAGTGAAGAAACTTAGGCATCCTTTATATCTGGTAACTCCCACAAAAAATAAAATAAAATAAAATTAAAAAAAAAAGTTGCAAAGGAGAACAGTTGGGAGGACACAAAAGAATACAGTTACATAGTTCTAGAAGTCATCAAGAGCAGGTATACTCTTGCATTTTGATATAATCACAGAACACCATCTACTACTGATCACACTGCTCACTTATTATGGAGGTTAGTTTGTACAAATTGCAATTAGTAACAATTATAGTTAGTTTACAGTTAGTTTGTGCAAGTTGTTATGAGCTACAGTTAGTTTCTGCAAAACTGCAATATCCTGCATATGAGGAATCCTTTGAGTCTAAAAATAGACCTTTCAGGTTTTTTTCTAATAGTCCCTGATAATCTGTACGAAGTTTCAAAAAATTTTCAAAGCCAATATGTGCTAAAGGCAGGAGTCTTTAGTTCTGCATTCAGCTGGAGAGAAAGACATTTTCAAAAGTTAGCATTTGAATTGTGACTGCTAACTTTTCATTCCCACGTTTGATTTTCTTCTGGAAATGATCAGTTTTCAATAACTGGCTATTCAGCAGACTACTCAGAATTTCCATCTGAATTTTTGTTCTAAGTTTTTCTTTAGTAGAATAATGGGCTTTATTTTTTCTTTTTTGTTCAACTGGCAGAATTTTCCGGAGGTTAAGTTCACCTCTTTCTAAGCTAATTGTATCCCTAAAGCTTGATTTTATTTTATTTTGGTCAGTCTTGAGGTGTTATTTAGAAAAAGTCCATTGTGGGATTTACCTGCACTTCTGGATGCTGAATCAGAAAGCTCATTCTAATCTGTGAAGTGTAGATCTTTCAAAGAATCATATTGGAAACTTTTTTTTTATGCTGCTTATATTTTTCAGCTTTGATTTTCTTCTCCCTCAGTGGAGGAAGTTATGTTAACACAGTTCGCAGTGTAGAAGCCCTGTTGGATCCCAGCTGGTTTCTGGATTTCCAAGAAGAAACAGCCAAGTGTCCTTTTATGTTCTTTACTTGGGAGAAATTATAATCTTATTTTTAGATGCAAACCTCACTACAGTTATCCATACATTTGTGATCAACACCCACACATTTGGATTACTGAAATATAACTCAATTGGGAGACCAATCAGAAACCTCAGCTAGTGCAGAATATGGCTGAATGAAGAGATGCTTCTCTCCGGGCGCGTATTATGTCAACTGAACTGACTTCCAGTTTTGTTTTCTGGTGCAATTCAAGGTGATCTGCAAAGCTCAGCATGGTGTAAGTTCTTGTTCTCTGAGACTGCCTCTCTATGTTCCATCTTGCGCACTGAAATTATCTTGGAATGCACTTCCTGATAGGCTACAGATTTAAAATCAGGGGTAGGGTTTTAACGACAGGATGTTTTCAGTGGTGGGGAGGGTCTTTGACTCTGTAACTTGATTTACCCATGATTCCAGGGAATATTGCAAAATCCTCCTCCTTTTTGCCTAGGTGATATGGTGGAGTTAGACTCTTTTATTTTGGTGCAGGAAAGGTTTTTTTTAGTTTTTTAACTAAACTTATAACAATCAAAACTGCATTTAATTAAGGGGCATATTTATTGTGATGGGGTGAAGATGGGGACGCTGAATTAATTCAAGTGCTTCTCCAACAAATATTTATAATTTTTGAGGGAAAAAGTTTGTGCCAGTGTCTGAGACTTGGTTTAGAGACACTACCTTATTCCCAGCAAACATACAGTTAGCCCTTTCTTTAGATTTCACACAGATGTACTGGGTCTCGGTGAGTAAATATGTGGAGCTGAGGGGCCCAATCAGGCACTCAAAAGGGACCCAGATAACTTTGTTTCTCTTTGGTAATCAGAGAGGAAACATTTGTGAGCAGGCTGATCTCACACCCATTTGTTAGAAGGCTGAGTTGCAGATCAACTCAGATAAATCTGTTAGTCTTTAAGGTGCCTCCGGACTCCTTTTTGTTTTTGTGGATACACACTAACACGGCTACCCCCAGTACAGATCAACTCGTGTTTTCTTATATTGGATTCTATGTTTATGTAATAGAGTTTGCTTTTTTTTCTTAAAACTTGTGCACACCGGTGTCCAAAGGAGAGCTTATCTCAAAGAGAAATACTTTTTGTTTTGTTTTGTTTTTTTTGTTTGTTTCTTCCTCCCCTCCCCACCCCAACTCCCCTCTCTACCACCATGCAGGGTTTGATCTCTGGTGTCAGCAATGAATGACCAAAGATGCTATGGATAGCACAGTTAGGTTTATGGCTTTCACCACTGTTACTATTGCATATATTGTTGATTTTAACTTCAAAGCTATTCTAGTATACTGAGAGGGAGAAACAGGTAGCCATAAAGTAGAGTGGCAGATTATTTTAAACCCTGGATGCTGGGAATTGGGATTTCCTGTTACAGTCTAACTACCTGACAAGGCATTGTGTCATGATGACATGAAACACTTAAGCAGATTGCATTTAGGAAAGTATAGACATTATGAGGACATTTTAATCCAATTACACAGTAACTAGCTCAGTAGCAGATTCCAACAAGTGCTAGCCAGCAAAGTAGGCTTCTGGCCAAGCAATCTCTCAGCAGAGTTTTGCTTTTAAGTGGTCTTGTGAAGTATACTGTCTGTGGAATCACGTTCTCATCCTGTGGCAGTACAGTAGGTAAGAAGCTTTCTCAGTGATTGTGATTTGTTGCAGATTATATGGGAGCCAAATTAAGGGGTAAATCTCAAATCTAGTTCTCTGTGTGAGTAACCAGGTCAGGGGCTGGACACATCCTTAGAGTTAGGGAGCAGGGGAAGAGTAGCTACCTTATTGAAGCATCTTCAGAAGCCTGTACAGCACCTCACCCAACCCCTCCCCAGAGAGAGGTTTGGAGGGTTTGTGTAATAGATGTGTCTTTTATGACCCCAGTCACACCCTTCCCCTTGCCCACCTGTGGCCTAGCATATCTCCATCTGCCTTCTGCTCCCTGATATGCAGGAACCATGAGGGAACGGGGATATTTGCCTTAAAGTGAAGTTCTCCTCCTCCACTCCCCCTACTTATGCAGTGGAACAACCAGTTCTGGTGCTAGGGGACCTTTTGTGGAGGCAGGGGCAGATTTGCCCCTAAATTAATACCTATTAAAAAAATCCATGCACTGATACCAAAATATAAGCAAATACAGCAAAACCTGTTAAGATAAATACCTAATTACTTTATCTTTTGACTATTAAGAATGGGAGAACAGAGGTTCCCATTTGTGTTTAAGTAAGAACTTAGTTAATGCAGTGTGAATACTCATATTTTACAGAATATATTTCCATGCCCTCCTACTTCTCTTATTAAATTAGATAATGTAATATTTTTAAATCTATCATATTAAAAAAAATACTGTGACCTGGCCTAATTTGTGTAAAACTTTTCATAGGCAGGAGGATGCAAGTGAAATCTGTCCATCTTTGGAAGAATCACTTCAGTTTGTTGTGGGAGCACCATGTTCATCAGACGAAATGAGGACACTTTATAAACTCCTTTAGGCAGGGACCCTGGGTGAGATCCTGGCTACACTGAGGTCAATGTGAATTTTGTCACTGATTCCAATGGGGCCATGATTTCAACCCTTGTCTTTTTGCATTTGTCTATAAAACTTCTTCCCCTGTTTGGATGTACACATTGGGAAATTAATATTTCTCCAATTTAATTAACTATACTCATTTATACATTTTTTTTGCATTATGTTTTTGAGGACTTCTGTGTTTGGACTAATGCATCTTGCTATTTACATTTTCTTTTTGTAAACCCTTACTAGCATATCGACTGCAAATAAACTTTGTTACATTGTTGCAGTGCATTTTATACTTGGCAATTGTAACATCTAAATTAAGAAGCAGCTCAATCAGAAATTAAGTAATTATTGTATTAGGTCCCTATCCTACCAAATGTAATGTTTGCTACTATGAACAGTCACATTGAATAGGGCCAACAGTTTTTGGATCTGTGAGGTAGGTTATCAGCAGTCGGGGGGGGGGGGAGCAAAAATGACATCTCCATGTATTCTTTTGCATAACTTCCCCTTTTGGACCTCGATCTTGACCATTTTCTATCCTGTTTGTCTGCTATTCCTATTTTTCCTCATTATTAGAAAAGGCACTCTTGGTGCATATGCTGGAGCCCATAGAGGAGCTTTCAGAAGAGGAAAAAGGTAATGATGGGATCAGTCAAAAATGTAGTAGGCATTACTTGTAAACATTTTATTTGAAAATAAAAATGGATAACATTGTTTGATACCTACAATATTTATCCGTAGTTTCAAACATGCTTTATGTAATTTGAGCAAGATGTATGACTATCCCATTTGTTGTGGATGCTTGTAAAATATAATTTCTCTATCCGGATTCAGTATAGTCTGATGGGGATCGAAAAAATTATGCAATAAGCATATTCCATACATCTCTCTAGGTATCTGGATGTTTTAGTTTTACACAAATGAATACATTCTTATGAAGCTCTTTGTATATTTGTAAAACAGCAATACTAACTAACCAAAATAACCTAGTATCAGATTAATTAATAATAGATCATAAGGCAATGTTCTCTGGTTTGCTAAGATCACTTTGCATAAGCTTAAAGTTGCCAGTGATGGTTCATGGAGGGGAACTCTCCAGAGGTTTAAATCTGGTGAGGGCAGTGCTGCTGCCTTCTATATTAATAACTTGTCTACCCTCTGCGTAAGGTAATGGGGGGTGAGGAGTGAGCAGGATGGGAAATGGGAGATTGGTGGTGGAGTTGAGCTCTGAGGTGCCCCATCCTCTACTGTCCTAAGACCCCAGAGACTTTTTGCAATTAGTGAAGTGAGGGCTGCTCCTGTGGAGCACTAACTTGAGCCAGGCCTAGGCAACTCTGAATTATCGTACCAAACCACACTGTCTGTGGCAGCTCCTCCACTCCATCTGAGTGCAGCTTGGATAAGTGGAGAATCAGGGCCCTAGGATTTACCATGCTAGAACAAACACCTAGTATGGTATCCTGCCCCTGGCACTGGCCAGTACCTGATATTTCAGAGGAAGGCAACACCTTCTCTCTCATGTCATATTGCATATTTAATACACAGACAGTTTTGCAGAACTGTACATTAAAGGAAAAATCCTTCTTGACTCTCACAAGCAATCAGTTTAAATCCTGAAGGAAAAGATATGATGTGAAAAATGTTAATACTTCTGTACAATGCTTCAGTGAGAGATTTTCCAAGGAAACCAGCTGCCCTCACCCATTTTTAGTAGAGCTCGCTTGCATTTTCTCCTTCCTTTCTCTGAGTCCATCTGCTGCTCCTGTCTGCTATCTTCTATCTTATATGCTGTGGTGTTGTAGTCATGTCAATCCCAGGATATTAGAGAGACAAGGTGGGTGAAGTAATATCTTTTATTGGACTAACTTCTGCTGGTCAGAGAGACAAGCTTTCGAGCTTACACAGAGCTCTTCTTCAGGTCTGGACTTCTGTGAAAGCTTGAAAGTTTTTCTCTCTCACGAATAGAAGTTGGTCCAACAAAAGATCTTCTATCTTGACCAATTATTCTTGATTCCTTTGATCTGCCCAAAAGCACATCTTGCAATACTAAAAACGAAGAAAGAGGACAGTCTGAAAAGACAGAAAGGTCAGTATGTTCTTGTTTTCAGTCACAGACATCTGTGTGGGAGAGTATGAAAATTGCTGGGCATAAAGATTACTTTTCGAGAGGAACATAGAAATTGCCTGACAGTATCAGACTCAAGGTTCATCTAGTCCAGTATCCTCTCTGACAATTGTTAACACCAGATATTTCAGAGGAAAGTGTGAGAACCCCACAGTGAGAAGATGTGGGGAAATCTGCCATCCACAATAAATATAATCCTCATCTCAGTTAGAGATTGGTTTAATTGTTGAACCGTGATGTTAGTATCCCTTCCAATTTTTTTAATTATTTACAACAATTGTGGATACTCTAACTCCCCTATAAACGTCCAGTCCCTTTTTGAATCGTTCTGAGTTCTTGGCTTCAGCAAGTTCCTGTGACAATGAGTCCACAGAAAATACCAGAAGAGCTGAAAATTGAAGCAAACAAGAAGTTTAAACAAGGATTTGAAATAATTTACAATTTGCAGACTTTTTGTGGTTTTCCATTCCCTGATTATGCAGTGTACCTAAAAGATTTTTGTTTTTTATGGCTTACAAAGTTTCCATTCAGGCATAAGAAAGGAACAAATAGCTCTAAGCCACAGTAACAGCAAGTTAATGAATACTTTTAAGAAACAATATTAATACAGAAACAAAGGGATTCAGAATAAATTATTGAGGACAAGATCAAATATAAAATTATTAAATAAGATTGAATAACAAGCAAGGTGAGTATAAAATACTGTTCTCTAAATTATCAAAAGTAGCGTTTTGTAAATTAATTTTTCTACTAGCTGCAGTTTCACATGCATTTAGGGCAAGATTTTCAGAAGTAACTAATGATTTTAAGTGCCTCAACTTTTGATTGCCAAGCCTGAGCCACCTTAAAGGAACCCGAGTTGCAGAAAGTGCTCAGCAACCACCACTGAAAATCAGGCCCCTTAAGATGTCTCATGTTGGGCAGCCAAAGTCACTGCTCACCTTTGAAAATCTTGCATTTAGTTTATAGTCCAAATTGATTCCTTTGCACATTTAAACCAAATTATGTATTTTGTATTTTACCAGTACTGTCATCTATGGGAAAACGCCTGACCCACAAATTATAACGCTGACACCAAGCATCACTGTATTGTTACATCGTAATTTTAAAGGTTTGCTGATAGTTGTATGGCTCTTTTAAAAATCAGTATTTTCAGTGGAGAAAATGTGAAAGCTAAATTGAATCAAATGTTTTTAATAAATAAGGTTCAAAAATGACAGTAATGACAAGTCTATTTTAAAATAAAACATATGAAAAATCAGAAAGGGCTGAATTGCTCCTTGAGGCATGGTCCTTTCTATGGGGTAGTACATAGCTATGCTATTATATCCCTTCCTGGGGTGTTATATGCTCCACTCGAATGCCCTATCAGCATTGTTGGCCAGTGCAGGATGGAGGTAGGTGCCATGGTCCCCTCCCACTCGGTCACAGGGAAGGTCACAGGTTTCCAGTTATGTTCCTGTTGTGCCAAAGCCACAATCCAGGCAGGTTTTACATTTCTGGCAGGTGGGGGAGCTTTGCTTCCTTTAACTCCTTTGTGTGGCCATGTAGGACCTTGGAAAATCTAGCCCTTAATCTTTTACTTATCTGCCAGGGTCTGATTTGAGGATGTTTGTATTTCTCCTGCAAGAGTCTCAATGACATCTAGTGCAAGAATGAAAAATATAACTACCTTTCCTACTTTAAGTGTGTATGATGCCATCAGCCCTCAAAGGAAAAAAAAAATCCTGTATTCAGGTCTGGGGGATTTTAAGACATGCAATATTTATCATGTGTGTTCTGTTAATTTGATAATTCAGACCATATTTTTGTACTTACTAACATATTTAAATTCACCTTTTCACTTCCAAAGGTTAAGAAAGAGCTATTACCTGATGCCTTATTGGAGAATGTTTTAATGTTTGGGGAGCTCCGAAGGAGATGAGAAAAATTTCTGATTGGAAATATGACAAGCTAGTAGACATGACACAGAGTTTGGCTTTGTCCTCAAATATTACTTTCAGAGAACTTAATTATCACAAAATAATTTTCCTTTCCCAGAAGTGCACACACTACTCTCCATAGTTCCATATTCATGCTTCTATCTTTACAACATAGATATAGTATGAAAAAGCATTGTCAATCAAGAGAGAGTGACTGCTTAAAGTTTATATAAGTAATGGATTCTAAGTAGATCTATGTTTCTGTAAATTAGTTCCAGATTCTGTTAAAAGAAAAAGGCAGCATTGAGCAGACAAAATACCACTACACAAAGAAAATATCATACACATATGTATATTGTTATAAAAAATGCATGGTTCAGTTTTGTCTTTTTGTCTCATCCTGTGTTTTGATACTTTGCATTTTAAAAATATACCTTTTGAATGTAATTTTCCTATCATATTACAGAAATAGAAAAAAATGAACGCAAAATAGGCAGAAGTAAGCAACATTTAATAAATGCTTTGAAGACTAATCCTTCATTAACTAAGGAATTACGAACAGTTTTGGAGCAGACCCTGGTGGAGAAGTTGGAATCCTTGGGAATTAAAGCAGTAAGGTTATTTTAAATGATTATTTTTCATTAAGTGGTGGAGAAGGTCCTTTGTCCCACCTTTTTTCACTTCCCTACCACAACCGTCAATGACCATTATGTCCAAATATCACCCCTGAGAGGAAGGACACTCTCCCTGTTAGCCAGAGGTGGTTGCTAGAAACCAGTGTGAAATGTCCCCTCATCTTCAAGATCATGTATTTTATCTTTAATGCCCACTAATTGAAGGTTGGATGTTTTCGTAGTTCCTATAGGGAAGTTATAGTGGGTGTTTTTATGATGTTCTGATATGTACTCCCCACAATAATGCTTATGACAGGGTGTACTCACCTCTTGTAAGTGCGTCCTGTTGGCTGGGTGTGATCCTGCACTCTTTCCTCTCATTGGTCAGGCTCTGGGAGGGAGTTTGGGTGCAGGAGGCAAACTGTCGGCTGTGCTCTGATTAGCTGCTTCCTTGCAGCCTTTGTAGGTGGGCCTGGAGGACCCACCTTCATTGCTCCTTTCTTGCGGCAGGGTGTGGTAGGACTGCAAGGCCTCCAGCAGGGGGCCTCAAAGCGCCTGATACACCCTGTCACAATGCTTTTAATCTTTTTTCCCTGTGATAAAGAAAAATCAGAACCAGTATGTATGTATTGGTAGTTTAACATGTATATTCCAGGGCTAACTTCTCTCCAGTTGTCTAAACTTCACTAATACTACTATAATACTCATAAATAACTTATTTTTATCATAAGGTTAAGTGATATGGGGTTCTCAAATAAAACCTTAGATCTAGTACTTGCCACAATGCAAGTGCTCCTTGACTACAATTCAGGCAGCCACATCCAAGGCAGTGTGTCTGCTTGGATTCAAGATTCCTTCAAGGATCAATCTGGAGCTGCCTTGGTGCAGTTGTGCCTTGGGTGACAAGATGCCTTCATATTCTTGGGACTGTCCTGATACTATGGGGTTTATCTTATATAGGATCCTATTACCCCTCTCTCATAGGACCCTGTTACTTATACACACACACACACACAAGTCCCAATTTTTCACACTTGCTATCTGATCACCCTAGTTGTGCCTCACAATTGAGGGTCTCCCCTTTCTTCAAGTTAGATCTTATAAATTGAAGATTTCACATATGGCTTAGTCTTCTTCCTCTTTGTCCCTGGGGCTGCTTTGAGAATTGGCCCTTACTTTACATCCACTTTGTTCTCCTTGTGCTCCTCTGTCACTGAATGCTTTAGCAGAAAGTCTAAGGACCACGCATCCGTCCTCAAGTACAAAATCTTTCTCTTCTCTTGGGACCTCAGTTTCACTTTTGTCTCTGGGAAAGGGGATTGGATTTAAATTTGTGTAGGTGGAAGGAGTTTCAAAAATTTTAGGCATTTTGTTTCTGACTTTCTTTTGGCTGCCAGCATTGTTTAATTGATTGAGGATTACAGTGACTGCCAGTGCAATCTGAATTGCAGACAGTTAACTTCTCTCTCTTCCCCTGCATGCCTCTGCCGTCCTGGGATTTTTCAGGGTCCCCAGCATTTTGATGTATCTCCTCACCTCATATTTTTTTAACCTACCATTCTTGGTTCCCCACCTAGAATGAGTTCATCTGATTCCTGGAGTAGGTTCCCCTTTGTTGCTCCCCTGCTTATCTCAATCAGCTCACACTTCATTGCTAGATAGTAACTTATGTCTAGCACCCCTGAGGAAGAACAGGTTCTCAGTTTCCCACAATCTTCTAGCACTTCGGCCTTGCCTACACACACAAATTGTACCACTTTAACGATACCAGTATAGTTATAAATGTGCTTATACCAGTATAGCTTGCTCTTGTACAGAAAAGGGAATAAGCTACACTAGTATAAGACATCTTTATTCCAGTATAACTGTTTGCACTAGTAACTATCAGTATTAAAAAAAAGTCATACCCCTATCATAGTTATATCAGTACTAAAACTGTGTAACCCAGGCCTCATCCTCACTGGCCAAAGAACTAAGCTGGTTAGAGCCCTTCCTTGTCCTGCTGCAGGCAGTCACAAAGAGGCATAGTCTGAGCTCTGAAGGCATTTTCCCCGCTCTCCTCCCAACGTGTAGAGGCTATTGTAGTACAGTGAAGAAGAAACTGAATCTTCTGCCTCCTTCCAGTGCCAATGATTAGCCAAGCACTGATTGGGGCCAAGCTAAAGCTCTCACTGAGCACTGGATTCTTCATCTTGGTAGGTGTGACACTTGTGGTGGCCTTTTAAGAGAAACTAAACTGAATGATCCTTGAAATCCTACAACAAACTTAATGCCAGCCCAGTTTTATTCCCTACTCATTTCTCTCCCAAGTCAGCTCCTCTCCCTTCTTTCTCCATTACTCTATCCTTTCCATAACCTCAGCAGTATATTCAGTTTCTCTCTCCACCCCTGTCACCTTCCCTTGCATCCGGGTTGGTGCCAAACCATGATGCTTCTTCCTGTGCAGTATCTCAGAAATCTGTCCTTTGTACTCTACCCATTCCACTAAACCCTTGCAACCATGGGCGGCGAGTTCTATGGGCCCGTGTTGCTCAGGCACCAGGAATATTCCTGTCCCAGGGGCCCAGCTCCAGCAAAGTTTCCCACCTCCTCCTCTCCCCCCCCACACTGCCCCCGGCCCCACCTGCTGCCCCTGGGCGATTTAAAATAGCCCGGGGACTCCCGCCGCCACCCAGCAGTGCAGCAGGGCTGAGCAGCTTCCTGCGCGCTCGTTCCACATGGCTGCCAGCAGGTCCTTGCAGCCTGTGTGAGAGGGTTGTACCGCTGCGCACTGCTCCCGCCCCAAACGCCCCTGTGGCCAGTGGGAAGCTGCAGGGGCGGTGTCTGGAGACAGCAGGGTGAGGAGACCCCCTTGGCCTGCCCCGCCTAGGAGCCGCTGCTGGAGCAGGTGCCCCAGGTAAGCATCGAACCCCCCAATCCACTTCCAGAGCCTGCACCCACACCCCCTCTGCAAACACACCCTTTGGCCCCCAAATTTCCTCCTGTACCCCTGCACCCCCTCTTACCCCCAAACTCCCTCCCAGAGCCTGCATCCCACACCCCCTCCCCCAAATCCCTCTTGCACTCCCACCCCTCCCCTGCACCTACTTTTGTCTCCAAACTCCCTCCCAGAGCCTGCACACTCACCCCCTCCTACACCCCTGTCCAGAGCCTTCACCCAGCACCCAAACTCGTTCCCAGAGCCTGCACTCCAGACCCCTCCCCCACTCAAACTCACTCCCAGAGCTCGACCTCTCACCTCTTCTGCACCCAAATTCCCTTCCAGAGTCTGCACCCCTTCTGCACCCCAATCCCCAGCCCAGAGCCTGCACCCAAACTCCCTCCCAGAGCCTGCACACCAGACCCCGTCCACCACCAAACTCCCTCCCAGAGCCCGACCTCTCACACCTCCTGCACCCAAACTCCCTCTCAGAACCTGCATCCCCACCCCCTCGTGCACCCCAATCGCCTGACACCCAGACCCGCTCCCCCACCCAAACTCCCTCCCAGAGCCTTAGGCAGGTGTGGGGGGGGAGTTTGCTCGGGGCGGGCGGTGTTCTGGGCACCACCAAAATTTCTACAAACCTGCTTGCAAGCATCTTGGTAATCACTAAACTAAACAAATACAGCCTCCTCCTACCAGTCCCACATCTCATCTCATCCCTCCTCCAACCAGTCTTATCAAAATTCTGCGGCTGAAATAATGAATCTCTCCCTTCACAGAGGGTCCGCTTCTTTCTTTGAATCCCTTTGCTGACTTCCTTGCTCATTCAGAATCAATTTAGTGACTCCAGGGACGGATCCCCAGCTGGTCTAAGGCGTCATAGCTCCATTGACTTCAGTGGAACTACACCGGTTTACTCGGCAAAGGATCTGGCCCTCTTGGCCAGTTGAACTCTTGTGATTTCATTGCAAGTCTCATGATATTTGGAGTGTCTGTCAATGCTGCAGCTGCTGGAATCAAGACATTGTGTGATAATCTCATTTAAAAAAAGAATTTCTAGCCCTAATGTTTCTGAAGAGTGCTTGAAAAAGTGAAATGAGTGCACCCAGAAACTACAGTAACTCCTCACTTACCGTCCTCCCGCTTAACGTTGTTTCAAAGTTACGTCGCTGCTGAATTAGGGAACATGCTCGTTTATAGTTGTGCAATGTTCCCTTATAATGTCGTTTGGCTGCCTGGTCTGTACACTGCTTGTAAAATTTCTGTGGAAGAGCAGCGACTTTACAAGGGAGCATTGCACAAGTTCCTCTTCTCCGCCTCCTCCCCCTCCCTCCCAGCGCTTCCCCCACCTGGCACTTAGGACTTTCTGGGAGGGCGGGGGAGGAGTGGGGAAGTGCCACATATCCACTCCTCTCCCTCCCTCCCAGAAAGTCCTAAGCCCGCCTAACAGCTGTTTGGCAGCGCTTAGGACTTTCTGGGGGTGGGGAAGGAGTGGGGATGCAGCGTGCTCCGGGGAGGAGGTGGAGTGGGGGTGGGAAAAGGTGGGCCTGGAGTGGAGCGAGGACGGGAAGAGGCGGGCCTGGAGCATCCCCCAGCAAAGTCAGCGCCTGTTCTTCTCCGGGTAAGCTGCCACTGCTGCTGTGAAGATGCTTCCTAGCGTCCTGTACCTGTGTGGGGTAAGCCAGGGGCACTTCCCAACCACAGTACAGTACTGAACAGTATATAATGCCTTTTATCTGCCCCAAAAAAATTTCCTTGGAACCTAACCCCCCACATTTACATTAAATCTTTTGGGAAAACTGGATTAGTTTAACATCATTTCACTTAAAGTTGCATTTTTCAGGAACATAACTACAACGTTAAGTGAGGAGTCACTGTAGAAAGCAAAGAAAAAGAATCCAAAATTTATTATTTTGAAAAAACTCATGATATTGGGGGTCCAACTCATGGTTTTTAATTCTTTGAGTTGGCAGTACTATATAAAAGGCCTTGTGTCGCTTTGCCTCCACCTGTGTTCTTTATTCTCATTACCTCCCTTCTTCCTAGCACCCCTTTTGTATCCTCTTCTCACTTTTGTCTTTCATTTTCTTCTGTGGGGGAACTTATCTTTGGCCCTCCCTCACTCTTCTCACCTGCTAAATGATCTTCCTCTTTTCTTTCAAATCCTCCTTAAAATGCACTTCTACAAAACCATTCAACAGTGTTTTCTAAACGGGATCTGATTCTCTTACAGTTTGAGCAGTCACCGAGTGCATTTTATGTGTGTAAATTCCCCTGTCTGTGTATGAATTGGATTGTGGTTAATCCTTGGATCATGGACTGTATCATGTTATATGTTCATACAGTGCCAAGTATACTGTTGGTATTCAAGAAATAAGTAGTTGTAGCAATATACACATGTAGGGACCGTCCTTTCTATAAGGTTCATTACGTTTTAGACTGTGGAATCAAGAACTGTTTTTGACTTCCATTTCCGTACAATATATGAGACCTGTTGTGTCTCAGCAATTGTCAAATGTCTTTTTCTGAAAGGTTTCTGTGTCTTCCACTTGGGAGATATGAGATATCCCAGAGTTCACATATGCATTAGCATTCTGTTCTGAATGACAACAGAATATGCCCTAGTAATGCATTGTTTATAAAACAGCTGTGAAGCCTTTACAAAAAGTATTTTACAATATATATATTTAGAAAAATATTGTTTTCTGTTTGTTACATAAAAGGTAATCAGAAGCTGACAAATAGGCATTGAGGATGGCATCGTTGGTGGAGTAAGAGTGTAGAAGGCGATATGGTAAAAGCTGAAGGAGAAAAGGAGATATAGATTCATAGAAATTAAAGCCAGAAGGGACCATTATGATCATCTCGTCTGACCTCCTGCACAACGCAGGCCACAGAATCTCACCCACCCACTCCTGCGATAAACCTCTCACCTATGTCTGAGCTATTGAAGTCCTCAAATCATGGCTTAAAGACTTCAAGGTGCAGAGAATCCTCCAGGGATTATACAGGGCCTTGAAGGTGTGAAGACAAAAGGTTTAAACTAGATGCAGTCAAAAAGGCTAAGCTAATGGTTTATAAAATGTAAGTGTTTTTATGTTAGTTATGCTGTCCATCAAACAGTAACTTGAAGTATTTCTTCAGGGTGTTCGTGGTATCCCAAGTGACCACTTTAACAAAGTCTTAGTTTCTGTCGAATCTGCCAGAGAAGAGAAAGAGAAACAAGTGCCTAACATTCAACTAATTCGAGAGCATCTTGAATGCCAAGTCAGCTTCAGGATTGAGGAGAGATCATCATCGTCTTGTGATAGGCTTGTTTCCAGCTCTCATCTTGCTTCAGAAGGTTGGATAAATTTCAGAATTATTTTATTTTTTACTGGTACCAAGTTTTTTGAAATAATTCTGTTTGTGTACGTTAGTCCCTAAAGTAAAAGTTTTGTGTGTACATTTATTTATGGTTGTGTTTGTAATCTTTTACATAATAGCTGTTTTAGCTGCCAACTACACTACACTTAAAAAGCACTCTACTTTTTATTTGATTACAGAAGCAGTGTCTCTGTCTAATAATGGAGAAAATCAATGGCTGCTTTGGGCAGCATTCAGAGGTTGTTTTTTTTATAGCCACAAGTTCACTTAAGATTTCTAATGAGCAACAACATCTACATTTCTTTTTAATATTCAGATTGATAACATAACTTCTTTTCTAGATAAACAGAAGATGGTTCACATGGCAACTTCCTCATCAACAGTGCAGCCAAAACCAGCAAAGCAGACTTCTACAGCTGAATGCCCAGCTGGACAAAGAATGACTTCTGCTGAGAATACATCTACACCAAAGTAAGAGACAGCACTTTCCTAGCACTTATGCCATAAATAACTCATTAGTGTTCTGCTAATAGAGTTATAGGTTTATTCCTCCTTTCATGTACAAGAGAGTTGATGTGAACATTTCTGGCTAGTATTTAGTGGGAATTAGCCACAGAATTACTATTTTTATATATGAAGGAATAGATTTTTCACTGTATATGTAGTTAGCAGTCGGATTCTAGAAAAAAACTTGTTTTGTTTGTTATAGACCCAGGAAGCATATTTTTCGAGAGGGGGTTTCCAGAAAAACATCTAGTATTGGGTAAGTTTTGCTCATTTCTGGTCTTGAAGAAATTGTTTTCTAGTGAACTGCCCTTGAATGGACATTGAAATTGCTTATACACAAAAAACATTAAGCTGAAATCAGAAGCTCTATATTAATCATATGTTTTTTTCTTAAAATGTAATACCTATTGAGTCCATTGTTATAATCCCTAACAGAGGCCATGCTCTGACTTGAGCATGTGTATTCTTAATAATTGAGCAGGCAGAGCATAGAGTACCATGAGGTGATGTCACTTTTTTTGTCTGTCTCATATTATGTCTTGGCCTGTTGAGACCTTAATTTTTAAAGACTTTGTTGCTAATATTTTTGTTCCATTTTGTCAATATGTACATAGTTGAACACAGTATTCTGGGTGCTTTTCATGTCATGCATATTGCACCCGTACTCTGTAAATTGCTCGAGCTGCCAATTTGTCTCTGAATACCATTCAAGATATTAAGCTTGATTTGTAATTTCCTAAATAGATTGGAGACCCATTATCTCAGAATTCACTTTTTCTGTGGGTGCCCGCTGACCAATTGAGATAAACTAGGAAGCTGCTGCTAACAGTCCCTAAATTTTTTAACTGGGAGGAACCAGGAGCAGAATTTTCTTAGTGGAAAATCTTTGACCCTGAACTTTGTTTTCTCTGTTGATCCATGAAAGCATACATTTGTTGGTCTTGCAAGATTGACTATATACTCTGGCTTTTGTTTTTGGGAGGATGTTTGCATTTGAGGTTATAAGTACATTCATTTTGGGTTGTCAGTTTGTTATTTAATAACTTCACATTTTTTTAAAATAATTGTATATGCACTCCAGGTTACTGTAGGTGATTTTTTTCAAATAGAAAAATGCATAAATTTATTGGAAAAAACACAGGAAGCTCAAAGTTGTGCACATCTGTTTAATGCTGAAACCCATTAAATCCTCATCTGATACTCTTTTTTGTTTTAGCACTCCACCATTCAGCTCAGAGGAGGAAGTGGATGATGATGATATTATGCACTCTTACATATCACCAGAATTATTGCAGCTAAAAACATCCAGCAACAGCATGAGTAATTGTGGTATGGTTACAGGCAAAAGTGATATGGACTGGACTGAAGAAAGTGAAATGGAGGAGATTGTAACACCTTCCAAGCCTTCAAAAGGTTTATCATTATTTTTGTGTACATGAGTAATAATTTAAGATAACATGTATAAATGATTTTAAAATAGCTAATAGGTGCTAAAATCAATGTGTTACAAAACACTTTAAAGCTAGAATATACATTATTGTGTGTATATTCCTCTCTATGCAAGTTCATAATATATTGTTATTTTACTCTTATTAATATTACTAAAGTACTCAGAGGCCCCAATTGAGATCAGACCCCACGTGTGCTGTGCACTATCTGAATGCAGATGTAACGCTTCTGCCAGGTTGTACTGGCAGCAACAAGGGCCAGATTCAGTATCTAGGGGTTCCACTTAACATTACAAAACAGAATGGGCTTTTGAGCCCACACCCAGAAATCTTGGAAAACTAAACACCACTCCTGGGTGCGTGTAAGAGGCAATACTTATTCATAGATTCATAGATATTTAGGTCATAAGGGACCATTACGATCATCTAGTCTGACCTCCTGCACAATGCAGGCCACAGAATTTCACCCACCACTCCTTCAAAAAACCTCACTCCTATATCTGTGCTATAGAAGTCCTCAAATCGTAGTTTAAAGACTTCAAGGAGCAGAGAATCCTCCAGCAAGTGACCCGTGCCCCATGCTACAGAGGAAGGCGAAAAACCTCCAGGGCCTCTTCCAATCTGCCCTGGAGGAAAATTCCTTCCCGACCCCAAATACGGCGATCAGCTAAACCCTGAGCATATGGGCAAGATTCATCAGCAAGATACTACAGAAAATTCTTTCCTGGGTAACTCGGATCCCACCCCATCTAATATCCTATCACAGGCCATTGGGCCTATTTACCATGAATATTTAATTACTTCCACACTCACAAACTCTGAGTCTGTGACTAACAAAAGGAAACTTCTATGAAAACACCACAACAGTGATTCAAAAGGATGCAAACCATAAGTAAACAACCACCTCATGGTATCTTGGGCAGTAGCACTTTGCCTCAGTTCCCCACCTTGTGGTGTGACAGTCCAGTGGATGAATGTCCCTTTAACACACCGCTCCCCTTCCCTCTGCTGCACCCAACTCGCAGCTGATTGTCCAAAGTCAGCAAAGTCCCAGAATACAGGGGTCCATTCAGGTGGGTTCACCTCCCACCCCTTCAGAGGGGAAATGTGGGGTCAAACAATGCCGCTGCTGCAGCTGTCCACCACTGTCATTTGTGCCACTGCTTGCCACTTGCACCTTCGCTACTGCTCGTTACTGTCTCTGCCACCACTTGCTGCTCTGCTCTGCTCACTGCCACAACTCTGTCTCTCACTGCAATGCTGTGTTGTGAGGTTCTACCACTTAGCCTAGTTCTTAGTGATTTCACTGGGTAGTGGGAGTACTCTCTGCCGCATCCTCTGCATTGACTTTCATCACACCATTGTCTCCATACCAAGTCTAAGATTCATCCCCTTGATGTGTTCATCAGTGATTACTGCTCTAGTGATTACTGAGCAGAAACAAGGACTCTCAACTGAGTGTGAACATCTGTCTTAAACACTGGAGGGGAAGGGTCAAATGGTATATAGGACTCTTTAAACAGAGGCCACATCAATAGGTTGGAACCCTTGTCTCCATCTCCTCAGACTTCCATGTGGCATTGGCATTGCTACCCCACACTCAGCAAGTTAGGTTGAAGTTAGGGTGACTTTAAGGACTGTTCTGCTGCCTTTTAGTCATACAATAAGAACATTACTCCTGTGTCCAAGACTAAAGTGAATTTTAACACAAAATAGCTAAACTTGATTACTTGGGCAAAGCAGGTCTGTCTGCTGATCACCTCGGCAAAATAGGTGTGTCTATGCAAATACAATCTGCTTCTGTGGTCTTTTTGCCCATTTCATCAATAGAGAGCAGGGGAGGGCTCACTCAGACCCTACTTACACTGATAGAGAGACAGTCCCAGCCTCGAACGGCCTACAGTTGAAAAGACACAAACAAACAAAAAGTTGGGGATGAGGTCGTAACTAGAGCCCTGTAAAATTCTTTTTTGTAATTGTTTTGTTTTTTGAGAATTCTGTTTTACTGTGGGAGGCTCTGGGGAGAGGGATTGACCCTGGTGGTTGGGGTGAGTTGGGCAACCTGGGGCACAGGGTCACAGCACCACTCACCCAAATTTGGTCATCCTCCCCTCCATCATAATTGGGGCCTGGCTCAGCTAAACCTGAGCGGGTGCTGCAACCTCATGTACCAGGTTGCAACTCCTAGAGTGGGGAGCCAGGCCAGACCCTCAGGACAGGAGCTGCAGAAGGTGCTGTCATGGTGCAATTTTTTCATTTTTATAGGTTGCTTTTTGTTTTATTTTGTATTATTTTGCATTTGCAAAAAACACACTGCTGTAGTCATAATATACAACCAAACCAAGATGGGGATTAATTGACAGAGTTTACTTTGTTACATGTATTGTTGTTTGGGGTTTTTTGCTTTGGTTTTTAGTTTGTAGTGTTTAAAATTACATTCTTATACCGATGTTTAGGCACCTACATACATAACCTTATTCTCAAGAGCCATGAAAAAGCTCAGTCTATTTAGCATAACAAAGAAAAGGTTAAGGCATAACTTGATTATGGTTTATAGGTATTTACATGAGGAACAAATATAATAATGGGCTCTTCAATCTAGCAGAAAAAAGCACAACACAATCTAATGGCTGGAAGTTGAAGTGACAAAAATGAATTTTTACTGCTTTACTCCTGTTAGCCTTTCAGAGTTAATACAGCTATAGGTGAGGGGGCTGGTGTGTGTTACTCCTTTTGTGTCATCAACACAATTGTTTACTAAATTCCAATTAAAGAAGCAATCATTTAATTACAGGACCAATCATTTACACCTATGCAATCCCATAAAAAGCAATAAGATTACAGCAATATCACTGAGCATAATTTGGCTTCCAGAATTTTTGTTATTGCTTCCATTAAGGAAGGAACCCAACTTGACTTAGATGTCCTGGACTGAATTTGCATGCCAGCAGGTAGAAAACTACATTTTTATTTGTAAAGTGAGCGTATTATATGTCCTAATGATTGAGAAACAATAAACATGGAACCTCACTACCATCTTTTGTCGCCTTTCTGAACAGAACTGCTGGTTTTGTTGTTGTTTTTTTAAAATCTGCAGTACTGTAGAAATTAAAAAAAATAATAATAAATGATGAAAAGTAAATTCATGTTTTTAATATCTTTCATTCATTAATCTAAGACTTGCTCAGTGACACAGAAGGGGGATATTTTTAAAATACCCTACTTTTAAACTGACAGTATCCCTGTAATTTTTTTAATGATTGTTTAGGTGCACTTATCCAAAAACTGACTGAACAAGTTGAAAAGACTCTTTCTAGCCATGGAAATAAGAATAAGCCAGCTGGAGGAATTAATGTCACACAGGCATTTATTAAAAAAGAAGATGCACAAGAACTGAAGGTATTACATTATTTGTTAATTAAATTTATCTATACCAAGACACACTTCAGTTATTATTATTGTTATTTTTGCTACTGTTTGTATTACATGTTAGGAAAAGTAAGATTAATCTGATGCAGTAAAAATTTCATCCCCGATGCGCTTGCAGAGTTTTACCTAAGTTGGGTCTCTTTCTTTACTTGTTTTTCCACAAAGTCACATTTGGTTTTAGAAATGAGAGCTTGGAAAGACCTGTTTGATTACGTCATAGGCTAAAGTATTTTTGTTTCTAGAACTTTGTCGGGTACAGAGGTGTCAAACTCATTCTCTGAAGAGGACTGAATTCCTTTTCTAATTATTATCTATATGTTGGTATAGATATTTAGAACTACATGCCATACTCAAACTCCAGCAGATCTCTCACTGATATCAGTGTGCTGTCTCTGCAGTTTGTCCAAGCTCCAGATCATTATCAGTGCTGCTCTTTGCCCTTCGGGCTTTCATCAATTCCAAGTCTTCACAGTCATGCTTTGTAGTGGAATGAAAGCTCTGATACACAATGGTCTTTATCCGAAAAACTGTTTAGTGAGATCCCAAGGTACTCTAAGGAAAAAATCAGCAGTAGATATTGGAACGTCACTTATTTCAAGCTTGGGATTTGTGATCAACTTGGAGAAGACACCAAGACAATAGTTCTGGCAGCTCAAATAACAGTGTTTTCTAAGCTTTGGCAAGGGAGATTTACCCTCTCTACTCCCCTAGTGCTGCACTTGCAGGGAGTTCTCTGGGGCAGTTTCTCCCTGGCAGAGGGCTGGTTCTTCTTCCTCCCTTCCCCTTCAAGAGAGGAGAGTCTGGCTGGAACAGGGGTCAGCCTCTCAGACAGCCCTTGATAGGGCTTTACGGACTCAGTTTCTGAAGTCTGTTGCCCCTTTGCAGGGTTTACGTCCTACCCCTCTTCCTTGGGTGTGCTGCTTGGCTGTCAGCTGAGGCAGCTCTGGAAGTGGCGTGTTCTATGGCTGTCTCCTCCTTGACTGGCCTGCCTCTGTTACTACCAGTCTCTGCGTGGAGCAGCCTATTTCGTGGTCACTGCCCTTTCCTATTGTAAGCTTCCCCTTTTAAGCCCCTTCTCCTCCTTCAGGAGGAACAAGCTGTGCAGCTGGGCTTCATTAGTGTAGCACAGGCCCAGAGGAGCTCATGAGCCTCCTCCTGGTTAGTGGGTGGGCATGTCCCTTCACAGAGATACATATGCAGGGGATCATGTTATTCATCATTAAACTAGTGCCATGGAGCTTAGTAACACTTCCTTCCTAGCTCAGTGGAGTCTGAAAGGAGGAAGTTTAAGATCCAACATTTTCTTTGGACACTGTATCACTCCTCCCTGAAATGAATGGGAATTCCATTTCCTGAAGTGGTTACTGTTAATGAACTCTTGTTCCACATGTTTTCCTTCTGGCTTTAATTGCAGTTATTGTGTAACAACAGTACAATCAGAATCAGCTTAAGAGACCTTGACCAAGTGGGAGGGATCATATATGAGGGATCATGTATGCACTCTTTCTGTCTTGATGCGAGCAGACAGCATGGCATATCAATAAGCTCTGGGGAGCTGAGGGGTCATCAGAATTCAGGCTATGGGCAGAATCCCATATCCAAGCTTTGTGGGTATCTCACTTAGTGGGGAAGCAAGTAGGAGAGTGATCATTAAAAATTATTGTTTTATCAGATATGCCAAGTTGAAGAGCAATACTCAGTAGCATGAGTTTTGCAACAGATTCAAAGATGGCAGCCTGGGCATTGAAAGCATTTTTCATCCAGAGTCTGTGGACTTTGTTCCCATTCACTGACCTTGCTAAGCCAAAGACCACATCAATCCAGGCCTTCTTGTCACAGTTCCTGAGGTAATTGCACCTCTGACTCCTTTGTGACCTATTAAGGATACCCACACTTCCCCGAGTCATGAATTGCTTCTGTTTCCTGAAAGAACATAACCCTTTCACACCCAGTTGCTAACAATACAAAGGGAAAGGGAAAACTGAGTGACACCTTTTCATAAAAATAAATCAGAAGTATCCCAGTCCTCCAAACTTCTATCCTGCTTCTTTATAGTGCCCCACAAAAACTCATCCTGAAAATCTGGTTCTTGAAAAGGTCTCTGTAGCTCACCTAAACTTAACAGCTGGGGTAATCCAAATTCTGTTCACTTACTGAAAGTCAGTAATGTGAAGGTAAGTTCTTCTTTGAGTGCTTGCACATATCAATTCCAGTGTAGGTGTGTGTGCATCCCAAGCACAGTTGCTAGAATTTTTTCTCTTTGTGTATCTGTTGGGTCAACTGTAGCGCCCCCTGATGTCGTGCATTCATAGCGTTGGTATAAAGGGCCCTGCTGACCCCACTCCCCTTCAGTTCCTTCTTGCTGCCCATGATGGTTGTTGGAACCCTCATTGCTGAGGCAATCTTCCTCTTAGTGGTTTTCATCTCAGTTTTTAGTGTAAATAGTTGTTGTTGTTTTTAGCAGTTAGCGTAGTGTTAGTAGTTTCTAGATAGTTTGGGCTTCTCTGCTCTTAGATAGCAGGGTTGTCCACTATCCCAATGCTGAGTCTTGCCATGATCACAGAGTTCAAGCCTTGCGCTTTGTGCAGTAAGTCTGTGCCTTTGAGTGACCCACACTTGAGCTGTCTCAAGTGCTATGGGGAAGCTCATAAGAAAGACCGCTGCCAAATTTGCAAGGAGTTTAAGCCCCAGATTCAGAACAACCAAGCTGTTTGACTGAAGGTCCTCCTCATGGAGGCGGCCCTAAAACCAGCCTTGGAGTTGCACTGGGACTCAGCACCGAGTACCTCGGCCTCAGTGCAGAGTATTCTCCATCAATCCTGGTCTCCTGGCACCAATCATCTTCCTTGGTGCGCAAGAAGAAACACTACAAGCACCAGAAGACGAGCAGATTTAGGATGCCGAAGGACTAGGGAGAAAGCGCGACCCCATGGCGGGCCACTCTTCATCCTCGGAGCCTCACCATCAGGTACCCACACCCAAACCACTGCAGCACTCTGACGCTTACTCTGGGTCAGCGCACCAGCCAGTTTATGGTGCCATTGACTCCTGAAGCCTTCACTGCGACAAGGGACCTTCTAACTCTGCCAGTACCAGACTCACCAGAGAGTCAGGACCCAACACCACTGGTGCCCCCAGTTGTAAAGGAATCACCACCAGCTCCTCACCTGGTACCGTGACAGCTTTCCAAGGGAAAACCCTCACTGCATGATCTCCTGCGGCAACCCTCTCCGGCACTGAGTGGCACGGAACCGCCCTGGTCTCTGTAGTGCAGCTCATAATCATTGGACTTCGAAGAGGGATCGTATTCCCCCCATAGACGCAGCCAGCCTAGCTGCTCCCCAGGCCATTCTTACCCCACTTTGGCACTGAGTTCTTCAGTACCACTGGGCGCCCGGCCATCATATCCATGGGGTCTGCCTACCATGAAGTGGCTCTTCTGGAACCCGTGAGGAGGAACATGCCAATTCCTTCCCATTATTCCTCGACAGGCCCAATGCAGTTGGCCCCCAAACACTTCAGGTCATCCAACCACTTGTTTTGATGAGACACTTGTGGTTGAAATCACAATTCCCTATGTTTTGGATGCGACTTACCTCCTTGTTCTCCAACTGCCTTTCCTATTTCCTGGATGCTTTGAACAGGGGGTTAAACTGGATCCAAAACATAGGGGATTGCAATGTCACCAGTTGAGACCACACCCATCATTCATTCCAAAAGTGGCCTCACAATTCCATTGCAATCAAGCTATTTTTCTGCCAATGTTCTATCCTAAGCCACATGTGAATAGAGAAGAACAGCGTCTCCATTCACTGGATGTTCAGCATGCCCTGTCTTTTTATATACAAAGAACCTAACTGTTCTGCAGATCCACTCAGCTATTCATAGCAATCGCAGAAAGAATGAAAGATCTCCCCATTTCTGCACAGAAACTCTGGTCGTGAATTACCTCATGTATCAGAGCATGTTATGAGCTCGCGCATATTATGCCCCCAGCTAACCTAATGGCACGTTCTACAAGGTCTAAAGCCTCCTCTGTCGCTTTTTTGGCACAAGTTCCAATTCAGGAGATCTTCAGGGTGGCAACTTGGTTGTCAGTTCACATGTTCAAGACATACTACCCCATTATGCAACAGGCCAGAGATGATGCTGGCTTCGGCCAAGCTGCGTTACAGTCGGCATGTCTTTAATCTCCGAACCCACCTCCAGCGCAGCTGCTTGTGAGTTACCTACATTGAATGGACATGGGCAAGTACTCAAAGAAGAAAAACTGCTACTAACCTTTCTGTAACTGTTGTTCTTTGAGATGTGTTGCACATGACCATTCCAAAACCCTCCCTCCATCCCCTCTCTCGGAGATGGTCAGCAAGAAGAAACTGAAGAGGAGCAGGGTCGGCATTGCTCTTTATACCAACGCGATGATCACACGATGCCGGAGACACTAGAGCTGACCCAACAGATACCATGAAGGGAAAAAATGCCAGCAACTGTGCTCGGCGCATGCACACACCTATATTGGAGTGGACGTGTGCAACACATCTCAAAGAACAACAGTTACAGAAAGGTTAGTAACCGTTTTTCTACCATTCCTGGAGGATGTTCTCCAAATGGTGCTTCTCAAAAGTGTATGAGACTAGGTCTTTCTGACATCTCAGATCCTAAAATTAATTGGGTAGATTGGGCGGAAAATGAATTGGCTTAGAGTATCCCTAAAGGGCAGACTTCAGCATTCTGAGCCATTCAGGAGAAAATTGAGTCTCAGTCTATAGGTTCCCATTCCTTTGTTATGTAGATTCTTCATGGTGATATGGAAATGTATGGTCTAGACCAAGAATAGACTTCCCTCCTAATATTTAAAATTGATACTGAGGCAACTTTACCTCTTCATTCCAAACCATTATGCTTAGTTCCCTTATTATGAGTGACCATCAAGATGGTCTTTTATTCAATTGTCTCTGCCTGTAGGTTGG